CATCACCTCACCCACACACATCCCCTACAGCAGGTTCTGATGGGTTTGGCGGGGGATCACCAAGGTCTCCACGCAGGGACCAAGGAGGTGCTGGTACTCCTCTGGTGCTGCCCTCCACCTTCACTTCCAAGGGACCAAGTCCTACTAGGTTAGGAGCTACACTATATTTGATATTTTTGTGCAAAGTCCCTGAAGCTGGAAGGATGAAGCTCCAGGACATTTCCATCAGGCCCCTAGCACCTAGATGCAATGGTTAGTCTAGGCAGTCTTGTCAAATATTCACTCTAGCACGGCAAAGCTGCCCTCCACCTTCACTTCCAAGGGACCAAGTCCTACTAGGTTAGGAGCTACACTATATTTGATATTTTTGTGCAAAGTCCCTGAAGCTGGAAGGATGAAGCTCCAGGACATTTCCATCAGGCCCCTAGCACCTAGATGCAATGGTTAGTCTAGGCAGTCTTGTCACATATTAACTCTAGCAAGGTAAATAAGCTTGAAAACTTTCGTTTCATCTAAGACCAATATACATCTTCACTGAGAGAAGATGGTAGTTGCCCCTCAGCTCTCCTACCTTGACGGGGTGGAGGTATCCATCCCCTCGGAGGTTACCCAAGCCCTCTCCCGGTGCCTCTTCCTCATCCTGAAGGCTGCGAGTGAGGTGTGCGATATAGGTGGTGGCCAGGAGGAGCACATCCAGCTTGGAGAGCTTGGTGTCGGGCGGCACAGAGGGGAGAGTCTTCTGCAGCTCGAGGAAGGCATGGCGCAGGGTTTGAACCCGACTGCGCTCTCGGGCGGCATTAGCAGCGGCGGGTGGGAAAAAACCCCGGCCCGCCGCCTGGCTGCCGAGGGTGGGCAGGAATTGCTGCCGGCGGCAGAAGGCAACAGGGAATCGGGCTCTGCGCCTGGGATGGAGATCTCCTCGCTGCTCTCAGCTAAGCGTCCACAGTCCATTGGTGCTTTCCTGCAACCAACAAGAGCATCTGTAAAGCCAGCGGCCGCGCTGCGCCGAAGAGAACGCTTGCTAAAAACCAAAGATTATCAGAAATGCAAGTGCTGCCGGTGCCAGGAAAAGGTGGGATGCAGCTGCGCGAGCTGCTTTTCCGCTCGCTGCTGACAAATTTGATATCACACACAGGTACAGAAACAGAAGTTGTAACTCCTCACAAAGAGTGGTATTTAATTTTTTTTTTTTTCTGGACAGTGTTACACGGAGCAAATTTTTGGAGTCACTCAGAGCCCAGAGATCACTTCTGAGAAAACCCAGCAGGCAACGCTGAGGAGCACTGCCAGAGTGGTTTCCATTTACAACCAACTAAAAATTAGGTTAAATGCGATTTTTAAAACATATTATTTCCGTAATTTGGGATGTGGGACTGTGTGTATTTTTTCTTTAGCTGCAATCATTTTATCAACAGTCTTAGAGGTGATCAGTGCTCCACGGATTACAGAAAGAAAGAAAAATACCATTCCCAGATGCAGCGGTGAAGAGAGTCCCAGAGCACGGTACTGAGTTTTCGAAGGGCAAACCTTGGTCCACGATTTTAAAGGATCAGGAACCAACTTCTCCTGTCCTCCCACCCCTAATGTTACTCAAAAATTTCTGTGCTTATCCTTTAGCTTCTACCTTTTCAAACTTTAAAAAGAATCTTGTAAGCTGTATTTTGGCCATTGGGGGGCAAAAGAACCTTTTGAAAACCACGGCAAAAAACTTTTGCACAAAGCTGAGAATAATGCCCACAAGGTCTGTTCCCAACTTGCAGAAGAGACAGTCAAGTCAGCTCTGCTCGCCTGTGATAAAACTCACAGTCCTTTAATTCGTTCAATTCCACGGTAAAATGCAATTTAATTAATATTCTCCAAAGTGCAGCACTTCTTAACTAGAATAATACCTGATGCTGTTGTCCTCAGCCAAGCAGCCCTTCCAGGCGTCTCAGATCCCGGCTTTCACGTGCTGGGAGCGGCCGTTTCTGTGACAGCCCAGCTAGACAACGACAGCAAGAACAAGTTATTAAAACTTTTAATTGCATTCAAATACCATGTAATTTTTTTTAAAAAATTAAATAAAATTGATGCACATAAATGACTGAAGATCTAAATTGAGAAAAATTAGACCTTGATTTTGAAAAGCATTTCAACCACACGCTGAAGTCCCACTGATGTCCCTATGTAATTGTGGCTGATAATGGCAAAAAACCCGAGACAATGAACCAAGTCAAAGATTTCTAGCAGAGAAGAGGAAAGGTTTCTAAATAATCCTTTTTGCAATGCTCTCATTTGATGGTATTTAGAAGACATTATTATTTCAAGTGTTTTATTGTGATTAAATTGCTGTTAATCTGGCTCACAGAGTTTTACCAGGTAATGTTCTCTTAAATATAATAGTACAGTTTAGACTGAAATCATTTGTGAAATACTCTGTGTGCATTATAACTGTAAACCAAAGGAAAAAAAAATCTCATTATTCTTTTCTACTGTGATATTTATGACCAACACAAAATAAAACTCACATTAAGTCTACATGAGCTTGTCTTGAGCGAGGGCTGAAAAATGGTCCTTTAATTGGCTATTTCCTTTAACTTACAATAAATAAAGGTCCCATGTGCTTTTCTTCTTGGTGTTTTCTTGTTAAGGCACGGTCAGATCTGGATGCATTTTAGTGGCAAGAAAAAAAAAAAAAAAATGAATCATTATTCCTACTACAGAGTCAAGACAATCATGAAAACTGGCAGAAGAGCCTATCGGTTTATATTTATCAGCAGGATTTCCCACTTGCCATCCCATCGAAATCCCACTGAAACGAGGAAGTCTTCCCCGATTACTGGAAAAGTCTGAATTACCCAAGGATACAGACAGACTGGGTTAGTATAAATACCTGCTCACCTACCGAAATACAGGACTAAGGCTGGTTCACACGCAGTTTTGGTTTTGCTGTGTTGGTGTATAACCAGATTTAGAACTAGAATGACTTTGCATGACACACAGTATGTAGAAATGCACACACCTAAAAACCTCATTTCCTTGGGTGCCCCTTGAAGGAGGAATTTCTGGTTTAGGAGCTTAACGTCTGCTTCGGACAAAATCCTGGGCCTACGGAAAAAAAAATGACAAAATTTCAGCTGTGGAAATGAGAGAGTTCACTCTGAATGAATTTCTTCAGTCAGATTTCCCATCAAATACACACAGGGAAAATCCGCTATGCAGAAACACAGGACCTAGGGGAGGTGTGTACAAATGCGTAGCCAAAACGCGATGGTTCCCGCGCCAAGATCGCGTTTGTTACGCGCTGGGGCTGGGCCGCGTCACCCTTCACGCCGGTGCGGTCAGGATGCGCCTTCTGGGTGCTGCGCTGGCGGGAAACCCAGGAGTCACCCAAACCTCATGGTCCAAAAAACTGTTGCTGAAAACTAAAGTAAATAAAATACCTCTGGGCAACAATCAGTGTAATCCCCTTTAAACTTTTACAAGAAAGAGGTTTGGTTTTTAAAGATAATCGCAATAATTTTTGCAAACACCGACTTGCTGCCTGGTGTGCAGAGAGACCTGGAAATGGGGCTGTGAACGTAAATCAAGGTATTTATATTATTTCTAAAGCTTTTCTATTGCAGTGTTTCTAATGCGGGCAGATACGTTCACGTTTTCACATGACATTACAAAGACATAATCGGTTAGAAATCTAATTAGTTTACCAAAGAAAACAACACAACACTTAGTCCCGTATTCCGTGTGGATGAAACGGCGGTGAAGGCAACCAGCCCACACCGACAAGCAAAAGATCGAAAGCGCCAACGGAGAAGAAAGAGGTGCAGACCCGAGATAAATTTGTTCGCAGCCTTTTCAGTTGTTCCTTAACGAAGGAAAAATACAGTGGACCTCTCTGGTTTTGCACCTGTTTTGAGAAGACCTTACCCTTCGCGTAGCTCCGGCAGCAG